CTCTCATAACAAAATTTTAAAAAAAAAAATCTTCCCAAATAAATAAAGAATTCTACATGGAGAGATAAAAATAAATAAATAATTATTAGCAAGGAAAACTAAATGTTTGCAATTTTGGCCATATGTCGATTCAAGGTACAAAGTGAATTATCTCAGCTAGTTAAGAATTAGACCTTTCTTAGCCTTCAACTAAAATTCAAAAAATTGCAAAATTATCATGAACGTATGCCACTCTTTCAACTTGTGCCTCCGGAAGCCAAAAAAAATCATTAAAATTATAAATCAAGTTCCATATCTTTCATTTTCTCTTGCCCGGATCTTCATTTGCAGCTCCAATCTCATGTGTATCCTTGCCCCATCAAATTTACATCTGTTGTTTTGATTCTCTTTTGTTTGCTTTGGTCTCTGCAAAGTTTCTTTCCTCAGTCTTTCAAAGGCTATTGATTGCATCCGCTTAAGTTCCTCCAGTTTCATGTTTGCTGACACCAATTATTTGCTATGCTATAAATCAATCACATCTTCTGCTGCTCTTTCATATGATTTTCCTTTGTTCTCAGTTAATCACATTTTCTGCTGCTGCAGATATTGCCGCCATTACCTCTGAAATTCATGCTTCTCCTACTTCCAGTTCAATCATGCTGCTGCTGCTGCTATTATCACCATTTATCCATCACTTGCCCCCTATGATTTTGCGGCTGTTGCAGTTCAGTTCTGGTTATCTTTACATGTATACTACGGGCTTCTCTTTTTGTTTACAACACCGAGTCCAATGCACGAGTAGGAGTTCATTGAGTACCAAAAGCTTCAACAAGTGTTTTCATGAGGACTGCTTCCAAATTTTGTTTTGTTTTTTCACGGGTTTTTGGTAGGTTTTCAAATGTATGCTTCGGAGATGGATTGCTATACTTGAATTGGCATGTAGTACTTGGCTTTGGCCTTTTGATAAATAAAATTCTGTGTATTTTTCAAAAAAGAAAAAAAAAAGGGCTATCTCTTTCATCTGGTTAAATTCAAAACCTCATGATGGTATCAACTTGCAAATAAATGTATTCATACAACTAATTTCACCTGGCTTTAATTGGTTTGGTGAATTCGCAACTTCAGACTCCTTTACATCTGCCTTGAGACCAGTTGATTCCTCTCCAGCTGAAACTCCATTTGCATCAACTTTGGCAGACTCCAGTGAGCTTATATTATCTTTCACAGAAGCA